GGAGATGCTGGCATGGCTGGCCAGTAGACCAAATGTGTCTATACCTTCCACCACCATCTGAGCTGGCAGGAACAAGCTGTTTTCCTTCACCACTTATGTTCTCAAGCACTTGATTTTACCAGTGTGTGCCCTGCCCACTGTCCTTGAAAGTGATATGTTAGTTGACACTGCATTATGAAAGAAGTCAAGGAAAGAGACAGGTTACTGCTGGTCATATTTATATATAATTGTGTGCTGAAGTGAGATCTCCATCCAGTGGACCTGTGTCCCCGCCTTGGTAGAAGAAAAGAATGCAAAGCACAGATCTACCAAGCTCATCCTGGCCCATATTAATGGCATTGCTAGTAATAAGACTTTGGTTTTTTTTTTTTAATTGAACAAATAAGTGCTAAATAAGAAGAGATGCCAAGAATCCCAACCTCTGCACAGTTTTAAGGTTTAAATTTGTTGAGAGTTTAATTTAGCCCAGGACATGATTTATCTTAGCATATATTCCATGAGTACTTGAAAAGAATGTGTATTTTGTTATTATGAGATGGAGTGTTCCCTAAATATTGATTAGATTTTGTTGGTTAATGCTGTTGAACTATATATTCTTGCTGATTTTCTAGTTGTTCCATCAATTGTCAGGAGAGGGGTATTGTGTCCTTCAACTACTATTGTGAATTTTCAACTTTTTCCGTTCTGTTATTTGCTTCACATATTTTGTAACTCTCTTGTTTGGTGTCTACACATTTAGGATGTTATTTTGGTAGTGTCATCCTTTTATCATTAAACAATAATCTCTGGCAAATTTCTGGGCTCTAAAGTCTATTTATCTGATTTTTAGTGCATGATAATGCCAGTTTTTTTTTTTTTTTAAATGTGTTACTTCTGGAGTAGAGCATGTGTTTGTCATCTTTCATGCAAGGCTGAATTTCTCCTGGTCCTTTGGGAAGAGAGAGCAGACTTTTGTTGGCGGATTTTTTTGTTTATTTGTGTTTTGTTTTGTCTTTTGTCATTTCTGGGTTACTGGATTTTCCAGCTCTAGGTGTGATGTACACGAAACAAAAAGAAAACCTAGGGAACCCACTGCCATGCTGTTCCTCAGCTCCCAAGGTCCCTAACTAGTCTGTCTTCTCTGTTCCTTTAGAACCTTCTTATTTTTGTTTTATATATAATATCCAAGGTCTTTAGTTGTACTTTGCAGGAAGAATAAGGACAAGTACCTCTACTATTCATTCTGAGAATGAGAAATTAGAAAGCCTTATATTTGCAATGTACATATTTAAACTTATATTTTCTATCAATATATACAGTCTGAGCTTTATATCAATTATAGCCTGTACCTTCCACTTCTTGCTCCCAAACTCCTTACAGGGAAAAACACGCAGAAGAAAATAAGCCCAATTATCAGTAAAAGAAGTCTCTAAGTGGAGGCCTTGCAGATGATTTTAATTTCTTTACTTCCTTTTCTGCATTGTCTATATTTTCTACAATAAGCATGCATCACTGTAAATAGTATTTGGAAGCTCAAGACTACATGTAAATTATTTTGCTATTATTAATAAAATCCTATTATTGCTATGTGATTTCTACTAGTAAAATTGATTTTTTATAAGCCTTCTTTTTGCTTATAATGATAATAAAATTTCAGGTTCTAATCTAAAATAATGCAAATTGTCATAACTAATAAAAGGAGTCTCAAAGATGTCCCATCTCCTTTAGTCAACAGAGGGAGCATTAACTTTCTGTTTCAAGAATCCAGTTTGATATTGTGTTAAATGGAAGACTTTTATGAATATCCATCTTGTTTTCTAGGGCAAAAGAGAGATTTGGGCTAGAGCTATAGCTCATCGGTAGAACATGCTCCTGGCTTGCACAGAGCTTCGAGTTTAATTCCCAGCAACAAAAATAAAAACAAAAACAGAAACAGAGGTTTCATCATTGCTTACCAGCTTTTCTGTTAATATCAATTTGTCCTTGAAAGTAAAACTGATTAAGGAGGCTTTATAGAACTCCTTTAAGAATTGCTGGAGCTGGGGATATAGTTCAGTGGCACAGCGTCTGCCTGGAAAGTGCAATGTCCTGAGTTCAATTCCTTATACAAAAAAAAAAAAAAAAAAATTTGCCATAGCCAAAGAAAATTACTTTCAAAAGAAACCTATAATTTCATTTGGTTATCTTATTTCAAAATTTGTTGCTTGAGCAATAAGGTTATAATTGATATCTCTGTGGTACTGTACAGTAGAAATACTTGTGAAATTGCCTGTCAAGTGAGTAGATCATTCTCACAATGAATAATTATATTGAGTGAAAGTAGCTAGATCCTCCCAAAATATGCTCTAAGATTGCATTTTTATAAAACCTCAGAAAATGTGGTCCAAACTACAGTGATATAGAACAGGTAAATGGTTGCCTGGGGAAGGCGAATGGGGAAGGAGGAATGGCAAGGGGCATAAATTTTCAGGAGTGATTCATATGTTTATTATCTTGATTGTGGCTATGGTTTCACAGGCACACAATTTGTTCAAATCATCAAGTTATACAATTTAAATATGTATATTATATGTATGTTTATATACCTCAATAAAGTGACCTTAAAAACATAAGACAAAGAACCAAGCCATAAACTGAAAATTATTTGCTGCACATAGAATTGACAAAAAAAAAAATGTTTAAAACATACAGGCTATTGCAAGTCAATTAGAAAATCTCACTCATGTGTATCTTAGAAAAACTCTTATACCTACAAGTCATTTACATGGGTAGGTGCAGTTTTTAACAGCAAAAATCTGAAAATAACTCACATGTCCATTGTTAGTAGAATAATTTTTTACATAATCACGTGATGGAACACTTTGTAGTCGTTAAAATTCATTAGCTGTAATTGTGCACAGTGACAGGTTGAAATTTAGCAACATTCTGAAGACTTAGAAAAAGATTAATACAGTATGATTCCACTTAAAGGTTAAAAGTACAAAATTATTACAACTGTGAAATAACAGGCATGATAAATACAAGATCAAGGTGGTGATTCATCATGATCAGGGTAGACAGTGCAATCAGACGGGCACTCACATGTTACTTCAAGGATAATGGTACTAATTTATTCCTTCTTCTGTAGGTACAAAAGTGTACATTACATTATAATTCTTTACACCTTCACATCATATGTATCCTACTCAATTAAAAATAAAGACAAGCATCTGCCCTTTAGTGACATCCAGGAGTAGCCAAGGAGGGCATCAAAGGCCTGATTGGTCTTGGGATGAAAGCTGGGAATTGCCTCATATCCCTGTGAGTACTTTTGAGGGGTCCTACTGGCAGAACTAACCCAGGAAACTGAATCTCACTCTCTGTAAGCACCTAGGCATTCCAATGTTGCCCTCTGCCCACACAGAATTACACTTATTCTAAATAGTTCATGACCAGGCTTCAACTGAGAAAAATTTCCCAGCGGATTTATGGTGATTGAAGTGTTAAAAACATGATCTTCACACAAGGTTTTCAAGGCCTCTTCTCTTTCTGAACTGAGGGTGGGGTCCTGTAAATGATTAATGGAGGTGGGGGAGGGGAGAGGAGGGTCTCTATCTAGGGAAGACATCATGGTAGGAGTGGTTAAGGAGAGGGGCTAGCATAGAAGAAAAAGATTTTTATGATTTTTAAGAGGCCCTTAGTCTCTGTGTAGCTCTGAAGTTCTATGTGTTATGGAGTTTTAGGGGAGAGAATGCATCTAAGCATACTTCATTTATACTTTTTATTATGGTTCACTAGACTTCCTCTTCTGAGGTTGCTGGGTCTTTCACATCCCATCAGCTGCAAGGCTGACTGCCTCGCTGCCTCCCCCCACACCCATGTGCAGTCACCTCTAGATTCCCTGGGGCCTCCTGCACAAAAACATGCGCTTCTCAGATAATGGAAAATTTATTTTAAATGCTTATTTTAGACTGAGAAAGATCCATTGTCCTTGCCTATACTGATCTTTGATTTTCATGTTGTCCCTCCCTCTGCCTGTAGCAAGACTGCCTTTCCCCATTTCAGATGGCTCATCTCCCTCCACATAACGTACTGAGGGCATGGTGGGTGCTATGACAGGGAAGGAAGAGTATGGTCACTGTGAGAAGAGGCAGGGCACTTGCCACTGAGGAGACCTCAGTCCACCAGCAAACATGTGGAAGCAGGGACAGTGGTTCCCCTGAGGCCAGCTAGAGCTCAAGAGAGGCGCCATCGCCTTTGTATTGCCTTTATTCCTGAGGGTCCTCGGGTTTCTCAAGCTATCAGATGCCTCCAGTCTCTAATTTCCTCAGGATCAGTGGCTTGAGCTTTGGCCATGAGCCTGAGCCTTGGGCTTGCTGCTAGGGCCTCTGGAAATTGGTTTTCTTTTTTTCCTTTGCTCTTTCCCAAGGGACTCATCTTGCCTTGTACTCAGATTTCCACTGAGACTGAACAGCCTATGTCATGCTGCAGAAACAGAGAGCTGACTCTAAGGAAGTTTGTGTATAAATTTGTTCAGGTTTTGAATGGTCAGAACCTACTGGGGACAAATCTGATATCTGCCTTGATCCATCACCAACTGTTCCCTGCTGTGTTTGCTACATTCTAGTCATGAGAAACACATAAAGTTTGAAGTGGGATGAGGCAGGACCCTTGAATTCTCACCACTGATTTCCCAGGGCTTTCCTTTAAGCGATTTCCTATCTCCTGTTCCATCCCTACTCCTGTTTCCTGTTGCCTCACTGGTGACCTGGATGTTTGTTGCATTGGCTTTTCCCAGAATACACATAAAGCCCAGTTGATTATCAGACAGTTACGTGCTTTGAAAGGGCTCTGAGCTCTGTGGGGGGATTCATGTACAATTAAGAGTGCTATCATTTCATCCACAACCCTAAGGATGCACATGGTGCTGGAACCAACCTGGCCAAATCTGAATGATGAAAGCCAATCACAGACTTGACAACAGGTGCATGGAGATGAGACAGTTAGATTTACTTCCTCTTTTCTAATTTGAGAGGTTTCATATTGAAGAAAATCAGTGTGTTGGGGTTGTAGGGACCTCAATGCAGTCACCATGAAGCAGGGCTGTGGGCTCACAGTCTGGGCCCTCTACATATCCCCTGCTGTGCTCTGGGCAGCCCAGATGTTACCAGGTAAGCACGATGTTGGAATGTTGGTGTGGGAATATGCCTGACTTTGGGAAAAGACCTAATGGAAAGAAACATGGAATAACTTTGCTTCTCCAAGGAATCACTGTTCTGGGAGATTAAAGGTGAGGTATAAGAAAGTGTGATGTGCAAGACTGAATGGCTCTTTCTGGATATAAAAATATTTAAGCCTTTTCCATCTGAAAAGTCCCCTCCAACTCGGATACTTTCTGTAGCTACAATCTCAACTCTTACTTTTCTGATGCAAGTTTCCTGAAAGAGTACTCTGCTCTTGCTGGCCTCACTTTCTCATGCCTTGCCCCTTTTTCATTGCTTGCAGTCTGGCTTCCACTGGACTCAGGTTTGCAAAGGGTACAGTGACTTCCATACCACCAGGTCCTTGACACTTTCTGTTCTTATCTTGCTGGACCCCTCTGCTGAACTGGGCATCAGTGATTGCTTTTTCTTTCTCACACTCTGTATTCCCTTGGCTCCCATGTCACCATTTCCTCTTGTACTATTTGTGTTTCTTACGGTCCTTTGGTAGCATCTCCTCTTCCCTTTAAGCACTAGTATTCTTTGTGGTTATATCCTTGTCTTTCCTTTCTTTTCAGTTTCCTTCATGAGCTTATTATCTGTATAAATTTTGCCACCGTACTTGTATATGTAAGAGTCCCAGATTATATCTTGAGCTGTAACCACGCTTTTGACTTTCACTTTTACAAACCAAGCTTTTTACAAGCACGTCTGCTTACAGGTCTCATAGATCTCAGTGAAATGCAGCCAGAAAGGGGCTCATCTGTCATCTGGACCCCCACCTCTTCTAGTTCATTTTTCTCTATTTCTGATCTCAGTGTATGGCACCGACATCCACCCCAAACTCCAGGCTAGAAACCTGGGAGAGAGCCCAGCCTTTTCCATTTCTTTCATTCCTGTTATCTGATCAAGCATCAAGTTTGGCAAATTTCACTTCCAACATTAGACTTAGAGCCAGTCATTCCCTGAAACATCACTAACACTGTCCTAAGTCATGTATTACTTGGGCCAGTGCAATGACTGCCTAACTAATCTTCTGTCAGCCTGGGGTCCTTAAAATGAAGTCTGTGCTCTGTAGCCTGAGTTCCAAAAGTCAAGCCTATCAGCCCAAACTCCTTGTCATTGCACACAAAGGCCACCCAAACCTGAACCTATTAAGTCTTCAGCATCTACTGCCACATTCTAAGCCTCATGACTTATGCTCTAATAAAACTCTATCAGCTTACAATTACACTTTACACTCCAGGCACTTACCTGTCTCCAAGGCTTTGCTTATCTTCTACTTCTTCCTGAGATGAGCTCTTTCCATGGTCCCCAGCCCCCTGCCCTTTAAAGACTTCTAGGTGCCCTTGAGGATCTAACCTCAGCAGCATCTTTTCTAAGAAGCCTTGGTTAAGCACCACCCTGCAAGGCTACCTGAGGTACCTCTCTTCATGCTGAAATAATCTTTTCACATACTTGTGTGTTCCATTACACTGACAGCAGGAACTATTTTAGTTTTGTTTTTGTTTTGTGGCGAGAACTGTAGACTTGGAGTTAGATGTTCTAGTTTCAAACTTCTCTTCCAGTTACTAGCTCCATATCACTTTTAAAAAGTCACTTTTAATATTTATGAATTCAGTCTTTTCATTTGTAAACCATAAGGCTTACAGAACAAGAAAAGACCGGCAGCCCATAAGAGTTTATTTTTAAAAAGGAAAGAAGGCAGAGCCCTGTTGAGTGACAGTGGGGGAACCGAAAAGATGCAGCAGAGTAGTGAATGGAGCCAAGAGAAGATCTAAAGAAAACACCTGGTCCAGCATGGGGAGAATAGGGAAGTAGAGGGAGCCTTGATAAGGGAAGTTACAAAATCAAAGAAGAGTCTCAGAGCAACGGGAGTGGAAGACAAGGGCAGTGGAACAAGACAGAACAGAGTGAAAAGCTGAGCATCAGTGAATAGCTAGGTGACTGGAAGAGGGTGAAAGGGACCAAGGGGGACAAGGGGCAGTTGCAGAGATGGGAGAAGCAACATTTACCTTGCTTGGATCAATCATGAAGACAGGTGACAGGTTGAGGAGATGTGGTGGGAAATCTATAACTCTACATTTCAGTCCAGAGGCACAGAATTGTCCCATAGTTACCAAACAGTGAGAGAATAGGGGGCTGGGGTAGAAAGGAGGATGGAGAGAGGGCTGTCATTGCTAGGGAAGTTCAAGGATAAAGGCATCTGTTTAGATGACTGAAAACTGAGGGCCTGATGGGACATCAGAGGGGAGGAGAGACCCAGGGAGGTATTGAAAGCATCTTGATTGATAACCTACAGCAGACTGAAGAGCCACATAACTTTTGGAAAATGAAAAGATGGAAGAAAGTCCCCAAGGAACCTCTGAGGACTGATGCAGACCCTTGCACCATTCTTTATTCTTTTTTTAAACTTTAGAGGTTTAAATGTCCCTTTTTTTTTTTTTTTTTTTTTTTTGGTCTTTTTGAGACAGGGCCTTGCTATGCAGTTCAGGCTGGTCTTGAGCTCACTTTGTAGTGCAGGCTGGTCTCAAACTCACAACGATCCTCCTGCCTCAGCCTCCCGAGTGCTGGGATTACAGGTGTGTGTCACCACGCCCAGCTTGAGTGTACTTTTTAAAGGTTGTTTCTTTAAAATTTGCAAAATGGTGATGAATCACATACCTGGAAAGCTTGTGAAGATAAACTAAGATAGTATCCCAAAGTGCTGGCATGTGTATTTCATGGTAAGCAACCCATGGATGTTAGAATCTGATGACCATCTTTCCCTCTCTTCCTATACCTGCTGGCTCTGGGGTTACGGCTGTCTTTGACCTCTGCTTTCCTGCACCAACAGATGGATGTCATGCCGGTGAGTTCACCATTCCTTCAGTCTCTCCCCTTTCTCTTCCCTAAACCACAGTCCTTTCACTGATAGTGCCTGGACACCAGCAAACCAAGGCCAAAAGCATGCTTCTAAGAGACCCATGGGGATCTTTCGGAAAGATGTATTTGGTATCTTCCTTTTCTTGCTCTGAAGAGGACGATTCCCCCTGGAGAGAGGAGGAACCCTTGCAGAGGGCCATTTCCTGTCCTTTCTCTAAGCCACAGCATCACTTCCTGGCTGTCCTTCATCCGTGCCTTCTTCAGCTGCCGTTTTGGAGCTTGTGCAGTGTGAAGGATCTGTCAGCACCAAGGAGAGCAGCTGCCACACCAGTGATGACGTGGCTGTGACCAGCACAGAGGAAGCTGGCTTTCATGTCAAGGGCTACACTTTCAGCGAACCCTTCCATCTGATCGTGTCTTATGGTGAGGTCCTGGGAAGGCCTGACTAGTGTCCCAACCCCTTCTTTTAGCTCTAGAGCTGACTCAGAAAAGTGCCCTCAGGAAAATGACTATGGGTTGAAGTACTTTCTTCCCTGTCTCCATCCCCTAGCAGTCAGGATGCCCTCAGTCCTAGGCCCTAGAGAAGTAGTTCCATATTTGAAACTGGGTCAGTCTTGGAGGTAAGAGAGAGGTGGTGAGAAATATACAGTGATACCTTGATTGTTGAATGGCTCCAAGTTTGAACTTTCCACTATTCGAACAGCAAAAGTTCAAAAAAACTCTGTGCTGTGTCTGTAACTTGGCTCACAGTGGACCTGAAAATCTGATTTGAAAAAGCCTGTAAAGGCTGAGAGTCACACATTGCATCTTGCCACAGACACAAAGGGGTGACAGTTCAGTCTAAGCGTTGCTCTCACTCAGACGACGTACCGTGCTTGTGTTGGTGCATGGAAACGTTTGTGTTTTTTGTTTTTTGCACTTTATTTGCATAAAACATCATAACCATGGCTCCAGAGAAAGTTAGTGATGCCAGCAGTAAAGCTAAGAGAACTGCAATAGAGTTAAAGCCAGACATCATTGTGAAATTTGTTAAAGTCCTGGGAAAATGAATTTATAAGTGTAATTTTGGGGCCTCACAACCAATTATTTCATTTTCCATTATTCCTTATAGGAAAAATATGTTCGGTTCTTGAACTTTTTGGTGTTTGAACAGTAATGTGGAATGAATTGAGTTTGACAATGGAAGTATCATGTAACTCTAAGTTTCTTTTTCTTTCTTTTTTTAATTCTTTGAGACAGGGTTTCATTATATAGTTTAGGCTGGCTTTTCCTCCTGCCTCAGTCTCCTGAGTGCTGGGATTATAGGAGTGCACTGGCTCATAGCTACATCTAGCTCATAACTCTTAAATTTCAACCTAAGAGCAAACATTGTCTTATGATTACAAGTTCTATCTGGGAGTAGAGGAAAAGGGAAGACAGGGGGCAGAGTTCTTTGATATTGTTAGGACATTTGAAGGGACAGAGGGCATGATGGTAGAGCACTGAGAAGTGAGTTAACTGAACCCTTGGAGAAGGTTTAGGTGAGTCTGTTGTGGGTATCACTCAGGGAGCACCCAAGGGAGACAGTGGTTGATACTTCGCTCTTGCTCTTGGTCACAGACTGGCTGATCCTTCAAGGTCCAGCTGCACCTATATTTGAAGGAGATCCACTAGTTCTGCGCTGTCGGGCCTGGCAAGACTGGCCACTGACTCAAGTCACCTTCTACCGAGATGGCTCAGCCCTGGGACCCCCTGGACCTAACAGAGAGTTCTCCATTGCTGTGGTACAAGAGACAAACAGCGGGCACTATCACTGCAGTGGCATCTTCAAGAGCCCTGGTCCTGGGAGCCCAGAGACAGCATCTCCTGTGGCTGTCACAGTCCAAGGTGAGAGCTGGAGACTGTGTTGCTCTGGAGGAATTGGGTGAAGAGGGACAGAGTGCCCAAAATCATCTGCCCAGGGAGATGCCTATCACCCCCATCTACACTTTCTGCTGGTACTTGCAGTTTTGGTGTCTGGACTGGTATCAGATTTGCCCATCTCTGACTCTTTCCTAGTCCTGTGTACTTGGAAAGAGAGGGCTTAAAAAATACTAATGGACCTTTCTAAGAGAGCCTATTCCTGACAGAAATGGGAAAGGAAGTATCAATGCTTTGGGTCTTATAATCCCACACTATAGGATTGTTGATCTCTTCTTTCTTCCCTGTCTTCCTCCCAGAACTGTTTCCAGCCCCAGTTCTCAAAGCCTCACCCTCAGCTGAGCTCCAAGAGGGAAGCCCAGTGACCCTGAGCTGTCAGACAAAACTGTCCCCGCAGAGGTCAGCCACCCGCCTCCTCTTCTCCTTCTACAAGGATGGAAAGACAGTGCACAGCAGGGCTCTGTCCTCAGAATTCCAGATCCCCACAGCTTCAGTAGAGCACTCTGGGTCCTACTGGTGTGAGGCAACCACAGAGGACAGCCAAGTTTGGAAACATAGCGCCCAACTGGAGGTCAAGGTGCAGGGTGAGTTCCTATGTGTGTGTGTGTGTGTGTGTGTGTGTGTGTGTGTGTAAACATGGAGGGGGAGACAGGATGACTGGGTCCACGAGCTTGTGTTCAGTGAAAGAGAGGGAAAAAAGGACATAGAAGAATCTGGAACAATAAGCCAGATTTCATGATGATGGAAGAAAGCATCAATAGAGAATAGAGAGCAGCTTTCTCAGACCATGGAGCATATACCACAAGACCAGGACCCAAGCCAGTCCTATACTGACTGCCCAATAGAATTTAGGGTCCCTACATTACCTCTGGGGTTTTATAGTAACATTATATTTAGAATTAGGAACAGTATCTGTGGTAAATTCTGAGAGGTGACATTGAGAAATTCCTACTTCGGTGCTTGCCTGTAGTCCCAGCACTCAGCAGGCTGAGGCAAGACTTCTGCGAGTTCAAGGTCAGCCTGGGATACACAGCGAGTTTAGAGCTAGCTAGCCTGAAATACACAGTGAGACTCTGTGTCAAAAAAAAGAAAGAAAAAGAAAGTTCTACTTGACCTGAAATACACCTATATGAATTGTCCAGAATGATGAGGCCTGAAGCCATGTCAGAGGAAAATAATGGAAGGGTCTGGGGGCCTGGAGATGCTCATTCTGAAGAGGAGGTGGCTCAGGGGGCTGGCATGGACAACCTCAGAAAGCTGAAGGCTTGCACAAGAATGAGGAATTAGACTAATGTCATATATAATGAAGAAGTTGGCCAATGACCAGTTAGATTCTGTCTTAAAATACAATTGGTTAACTGGTTAATTGCTTAATAGCCATAGTTGTGTAATGATGAGGCTAATCACTAGAGTACAGGGAGCTAAGCTTCAGCTTAAAACTTGGATTAGGAGGGACACAAGAGTCCTCAAGTCCTGCTGTCTGTGGGCCCCACAGCCACTTTCAGAGAACAAGAAAGATTGACATGAGAGTAGGGTCAGGGTCCAATTTCACTCTTGTGTGTGTCTCCTGCCACAATCCAGGTCCCTCCAGCTCTCCTGCATCTCCTGCCTTGAATCCAGTTTCTCAGAAATCAGCTGCTCCAGAAACAAGTTCTGCAGAGCCTCCCAGGCCTGTGCCTCCGCTAGCTACCCCGACTTCTGAGCTCCCAGTTTTTTCCCCTCCAGACCCCCACCTGCATTACCAGATGGGAATTCTTCTCAAACACATGCAGGATGTACGAGTTCTCCTCGGTCGTCTGATCATGGAGCTGAGGGACTTATCGGGCCACCTGAAGGCTGAGACCACAAACGCTCCTGCCAAATGAAAGTACAGGACTCATCTATGATGGGGCTCAGCCACTCCCTGTAAATCCAGCTCTATGGCTCTCTTTCTGTCCTGCACATATGCATAAATAGTTACAAGTTGTCCCAATGTCCTGTTAGAATAATGGATGTAGGTAAGTAGAAATAAATATGTACAGAATGATAGTTGGAGTTTAGCTCTGATTTGTGTTCTCTTAACATGAAAAAATAATTATTCTCTGTTTAAATCAAACATTTTCTTTCATTGCCCTCACTGGAATCTGGTGATTGAAAGAGAAGCCACTCAGGTGGATTTAACACAGCAATATCCCCTGGGGTAATTTAGCAGTGTCGCCTGGACATTGTAGTGCTCAAGTACGTATGCTCCTGGCATCTTGTAAGAAGCCAAGGGTGCTGCTAACTCTCCTGTAAAAGTAGAGAACAGCCCCTCCCCCCAAAAGAGGTTATCTATCTCAAAATGTCAGTGGTGCCCCAGTTGAGAAATCCCAGCCTAACAGATGAGGTCGGGTATGTTCAGGGTGGTACGGTAGTAGAGGGAAAACCCCACCTAATGAAGCTGATGTTAAGCTCTGGTGACAGCCTTTGCCGCTCCTAGTCATCACTCCCCTTCCCAGCGTCCTTCAGTGAGCATTAATCATGTGCCAGTATTTAGGTGGCACTATGGTCTGAGTGATGGTGTCCCCCCAAATTCATATGTTGAAATCCTAACCCACAGGTGATGATGTTAGGAAATGGGGTCTTTGGGGAGTGATTACACCATGAGGACAGCACCCCTGTGATTGAGATTAGTGCCCTTATGGAAGAAACCTCCAGAGCTAGCCTGCCCTTCTGCCATGTGAGGACCCTGGAAGAAAGTGCTGTCTATGAATTAGAAATTGAGCTCTCACGACATAACAAATTTGTTGGTTTGACTTAATTTTGGAGTTGCCAGTCTGAGAACTAGTTTCTCACCCAATGAGGGCCAGGCTGCTAATCTTTGGTCAGTGAGTTAGCGTACAATGTTTTTTTGTTGTTGTTTATTTGTTTTTTGGTACTAGGAATTGAACTCACAAATTGCGCTTGCCAGGCAGGTGCTGTGCCACTGAGCTATATCCTCAGCCAGCAAATGTTCTATCATCCTGAATTATGCAGTGATGTCTCCCACTGTGGCCTTTCTTTGTGCCATTTCTTTTATCTTTCTTTTATTTTTCTTTCTTTTGTGGTGCTTGGGATTGAACCTAGGGCCTTATCCATTTCCAGAGAGAACAACTCGTTTATCTTTCTGTTCCTAAATTAGTTCTCTATATATAATAAAATAATCCCTCAATTCCACATTATTCATTTTAATATTTTTAATTGGATGTTTTTGAAAAGTCTAAGTAAACTACATGTTTCATTATCCTACTATACCTCTGTGAAAAGAAGCAACAGAATGAATTTTTCTCCTAGCAACTATGCTGTGACATAAGAATTTTTAGTTAAAAAAAAAAACTAAACTCCTGAATTTGCATTAAATTTCTTTTTCTCCAAAAAAATTTGTTTTTCCTCCAAACATTTATCACTGACACAGCAAAGATATTTTAAAAATATTTACAACCAAGACTTGAAATGTAGCTCAGTAGTAGATCACTTACTTAGCATGTGCAAAGCCCTGGGTTCAATCCCCAGCACTACAATCAATCAATTAATTAATTAATTAATGCTCACAGACAACACTAGCATCTCCATGGACCGAGAAGGAAGAGAAGATAGTAATGGAGCAAGCTAGGTTTCAGACCTGGAAGCACACAGAGATAGCTAGGAATTCAGCTTCTGTGGGTTAAGGGGAACAAAAATTGCTGAAGAAGGGCATGAGTAGAAATGTGTCTTCTCCCATGAAAAGAAACCGTACACGCCTGCAATCCTAGGACTCGGGAGTCAGAGGCATGAGGATTGCTGTGAGTTCGAGGCCAGTTTGGGCTACACAGTGAGATCCTGTGTCAAAAAACAACAACAACAAAAGAAATTGTATAAAAAGATTTTCCTCTGTTTACTTAAGAAAGTTTTGTCCCAGGGGTAGAATGAAGGAACAGAAATAGCAAAGCAACCAGAAATAAACACTTAGACCAAATCACCAGCTGGCTAAGTGACTAGATGCAATACAGTGCTCTAAGTAGCTACAAAGTCATCGGCCCAACTGCGGGTGCTGGACTGAGGACCCAGGGGCCTGGGGAAAGACTGCTTAAAAGACAATTCACTAACTTGACTCTAATGAGATCAAATGACTCTCAGTTAAATACAAATGGCAGAATAGCCCATAATGACTTTAAAAAGAGTTTAAGATCTCACAGAAATTAAGAGATATCTACCAAAAAAGAACAAAAACTTTTGAAACACAAACAAGCAGGAGTCAAGGGCAAGTCCAAGAACCACACAGATAGAACCAGTCCCCAAAATGACACAGAAATAGCGTCAGGAAACCTGGATCACAAAGACATGAATCTTCTAAGGGGTAACCTTGGGTTCCTAAGGAATGTGCACTTTGCCAAGAAGCACAAGAATGGCCTAAAGAAATGCAGGCAAACTATGTAAGGCCATAGGTGTGCATGCCAAGGCTTTGAAGGCTGTTATAAATCCCAAGAAAAGTAAGTCAAAGACCCCAACGAGTGCCAGCAACAAGCTCCATCAACTTGACTATATCACTTGCCCAAGCTCAGAAAGCGTGCTCACTCCTACACTGCCAAGGGTTCTTGGGCTCTGCTGGCCAAGGCCAAGACTGCAGCTCTGACTTTGGGTCTAACTCAGGCTCAGCTCCTCAGGGTGTCCAGGCCCCACTATATGAAAGCTCCTTAGTAAAAACTTCTGTCTTCCAATGTGAAGACAGAAGGACTGGTATGACACCTCAGCTCTTGTCTGCCCAGGGATGGTGTCCTTCTATGGTGTTTGTACAAATAATCTGATGCAGGAGAAAATAAACAAGAACAACAAAACAAAAGAACCAGGAAAACATGGAAAAACTATAGGGAGATATGAAAAATAATTAATTCAAAAATCAAAAATACAATATATTAGAATAAAAATGCAATCAATGATATAAGCTATACATATATTGAACACTATTAAAAAGAGAATTAGAGGGCTGGGTTATAGCTCAGTGGTACAACCATTTGCCTGGCAAGCACAAGGTCCTGAGTTCGATCCCCAGCACCACACGCACACAAAAAAAAGAGAATTAGAGTCAGGCATGGTGGGGCACACCTGTGATTCTAGCACTTGGGGAAGCTGAAGCAGGAGGATCACTAGTTTGAGCCTAGCCTGGGCAGCTTAGCAACTTCAAGTGTGTCTTGAAAAAGGGCTGGGAGATAGTTCATTGCAAAGGCCCCGGATTCAGTCATCAGGAATGAAAGAAAGGAAGGGGAGACAGAGAGAGTGGGATTTATTTTTGGTTGGCTAGTTCCAAGGCAGAGATATGATGAAAGGGTGTAACAAGGGCAAGTTGCTCAGCTCATGGCTTTGGGAAAGCAGAAAGCTGGGGAAGAACACCAGACTTGGGGCCCAGGGTCCCCAAGGTCATGCCCCCATGCCCCACTTCCTCCATGTAGATCCTACCTCCTAATAGCCTACTCAGTCTTCTACCAGTGAATTACTTCTCCAGTACTTTTTATTTTTTGAGTCAGGATCTCATAGGTTGCCCAGGCTGGCTTGGAACTTACGATTCTCCTGCCTTGATGCCTAAGATGTTAGGAGTCACTGGGCCCAGCTAGCCTTTGTCTAGCCTGCAAACACTTACTTAGCACGTGCTCTGTGCTGTCACTGTCCTAGGTGATATAGCACCGAGCAGGGAAAAAACCCCTGCTTTTGTGAAGCTTGGATTCTAATGGAGGAGAACCTACCACATACAAATAATGTCAGGGAATTACAAAATGCTATGAACACCAAGCCAGACAGTGATGGTGAGGTAATACTGGCTGAGCCACTTTCGCTGGGGCAAAATCCCCGACACCCACTTTTAAAGAAGGAGAGTTTTTTTGGCTCACAATTAGTCTGCATTTGGTTGCTTCCAAGGCAGAAACAGAATGGTGGGAAGGTATGGCGGAGGAAAGCTGCTCAACTCATGGCAGCCAGGAAGCAGAGAGAGAAGTGAGGAGCAGGGGACAAGACCGAGGAACTCACCTCCAGGTAGGCCCTACCTCTGAACAGCACATTCAGTTATGAACTCAGCAATACGTGAATCCACTGATGACCATAGCACCCCCATGATCCACTCTCCTTCCATACACAGGAGAATTTTGCGGACATTTTAGAGCTAAGCCATAACAAATACTATTTTTAAAATTTTATTAGTACATTTCAGATATATATAATGCTAACATTCATCATAGAAAATTTGGACCCAGTTGTACATGATTTATCTTGCTTCGTTTTTTTCCCATTCCCCTCCCCTCCCTTCAACCCCTCATTCCTTCCTTATTTACAAAAGATTTGTTCCCATTTTTTCCTTCAGTTGTTTTTTTTCTTGTCCCTCCTTTCCTTTTCCCCTCCCCCCTCCTCGTGTGATGAGTGACCTTCTCTCTGAGGAGATGAGATGTGAGGAAATGAAACTTGCAAAGATCTGGGAGGAGACTCAGAATCTTTCAGGCAGAGAGAAGAGCAAGTGAGGCGTGGAAGCAGACTCAGCATAGAATGTTCTCTGAACTGCTGTAATCATCGTGTGACAGACCAGGGGAAGGGAAGGACAAGGTCAAAGTGTGATATGAGGTCAAAGGTCAGGCAAAGACCCAATCTGTAAGTCAAGTCCATAGGAAGGGGTTTGGGCTTTATTCTGAGTGCATCTTTGGGGGATTTTGAAGGAGAGAAAATAATATATATTTTAATTCTGGTAATAAGAATTACCAGAATTCTTATTTGCATTTGAAAACTATTTATCTGGCTACTTGATGAAGAAATAAGGATGAGAAATGATGTATATAGAAGGTGGAGTCATCAGGACTTTCCAAAGGATCAGATTTGGACTTTGGAAGGAGGATTGGCATGAAGCTCATGAGTGTACCGTATAGTCTCGCTCCTGGAAGCCCTTCAGCAGCCTTGCAGGGTGTATCTGAGCTCATTAGTCTTGAGGCAGGAGATTAAGGTGTGGCAAGGCTGGCTGAGGAAGTATGTGTGACCTGTTAATTACAAAATCTCATTTGCAGAACAGTTCCCTAAGCACTACACATGGACTTCTCATAAGAACTCGAGTGGAGTTTTGATAGGATGGCCTAGACCTGACATCATCCTGAAGAGTGGGTGGAGGCACACAAAGGATAGTCCACGTTGAGTTAGGTCACTGTGTTCTCTCTTGCATGGTGGTCCACCCTCACACTGTAGCGTGTACTTCTTTTCCTACTTTTACTGGGCCCAAAGTTGTTCTGTAGAACTTGTTTCTTTTCCTACCTCTAATAAAACCTTGCTACCGTTTGCACTTATCTTGATCAGTTCTTTGCTCGGGACAGAAAGAACCTAGAAACCACTTCAAGCAGGTGATTCCAGTACCTTTAAATCCTCTAACAGCCTCATTAACCTCCTCTGTGTTGAGCCCTGTCCCAAGCCATTTACACACAGTACTGTAGTTCATTCAACCTTCACCACACACATCAAGAAATTAGTTCACTGTGGCACTGTCTGTGGTAGGGGAGGAGAGGGCAGCAGCCATCATGTTAGGGGACTAGACAAAAAGCAGTACAGAGGAAGCACTTCTCGGCATATTAGGGCAGACAGAATCAATAAACAAGATGCATGTACAGCATTGTGAATGGATCTTAAGCCCAGGGAGTCATTTTTAAAAGTACAAAGAAGCCAAGTGTAGTTTGCATGCCTGTGATCCCAGGGCTCTGGTAGGCTGAGACAGGAAGATAGCAAATGTAAGCCCAGCCTGAGCAACTTAGAAAGAATCTATCTAAAAATTTAAAAAAAAATTAAAAGAGCTGGGGATGTAGCTCAGTGCTCTGGGTTCAATACCTAATACCACCACCAATAAAAAAGTAAAAGAGAAGATGATATCTAGATCACTCTGTCATTTATGTAAATTAATAATTCTAAAAATTTTTCCAGGAGGAATAAATGCACATATTCAGGGACATACAACAAACATTACACAGTGGATGCTTATGTGGTGGGAAGAAGACTGACAGTGTGGAAGGTACTGGAATAAGAAAACAAAGAAAGAGCCTTGAAAAGACCAGGGTCTCCCAGCGTCCCCTGAGAGGCACCTTGAATCCCTGATGAGAGAGATAAGAAAATAGACTTGGGAGATTCAGTCATCCCTGGATTCTGGCACCTCAGTTTCCTCAGCTGTAAAATGGGGATAATAATAATCTTCCCTCAAAGGGCCTGTGTGAGGATTAAACGAAGTTATACCCGTGAAGTACTCAGCATGGTGCCTGCCACACACCGGGGCATGCAACTCATGGCCACTACAGTAGCTGGTGTCATTATCATCACCACAACAGCATTATCCCATTATTGCTATCATCACAGCATGCCTTTTATTTACCAGAATCCTTATCAAATGATGGCGTATCTTTTCTTGAAGTTATGCTGTGATAGGCCTCAAAGAATTGCTGACATACCAATAATCGCTGACTTTCTCAACATAGTAAAACAGTAAAGAATTAACATTCTGGTAGGTGTGCAGTGCAGGGTGGCCCACACCTGACATCCCACCATTTGGGAGGCTCAGGCAGGGAGATTGCAGTGAATTTGAGGCCAGCCTGGGCTATATAGGGAGTTCATGTTCACAGCAAGACTTTGTCTCAATAAATAAATAAATAACCACCCCCTTCCCCCCAAAAAACCATCAAAACATTCTGTTAGGGGAGAGTTCTGGATGGAGAAAAAGATGCAATTTTGGGGAAATCTTGAGGAGAATCTAGAATACAGAAATGTTGGGCAGGATATTTCTCCAGTCAAATCCTGAACTCTGTAAGATAATGAACTCTATTGCATGTGAATTTATGGCATGGGCAAGTTTCTTCTGGGACACAGTAAAGGGGTTGAAATCTGTGTTCTGAATGATGAGAAACTAAACTGGAATTCACCCATATAGATGAAGAGAACAGCCACCAGCCACATGGCATTGTTAGAATGGCCTTGTGCAGAAGTCACCCTGGGGAGTAGGGGGGAAGGCTGTGGATGATGTGGGGAGCCCCCAACTTGCCCCAGCATGAGCAATCAGGCAGAGTGCGGGGAAACACAGAAGCACTGCCCAGCTTGGCCAGTCCTAAAGTGGCCAGCGGATCATCTCTGCTCCCAGGGTCTGGTTTTTCTCCTCCCCCACTCCTGGGCACCTTGTCAAATGCTTCCCTACTTTCAAGACTTACACAGTTATCTCTTTTATCTTAAACTTTTCAAAGCAGCATCTGGGGCCAGGGGTATAGCTCAGTGGCTTAAGCACTTGCCTGGCAAGCCTGAGGTCATGAGTTTGATTCCTGGTACAAAAAAAAAAATATATATATATATATATATATATATATATATATGTATGTATATATGTATATTTCAAAGCAACATCTGAAGTGGCCAGCATAAGTTAAATAACCAATGGCTTTTCCCTCAGACTCATTTGCATTTTTGATGGGGACTAGCATGCTAAGTAAGCTAAGCTATGAGGGAATTCAAATGGAACTGTTGGCCACCAGTAAAAGAGGAGGAAACTGTCTGGAGACTTGACAGTGTCTGATAATTGACCTCTTGCCAGAGTTCCAAGAAGGAGGTGCCCTGGTTCTCAACCAGCCATGGGTGAAGACAGGAGAGAGTCCAAGGAGACATACTATCGGGTTGGAAACTTCTTTAAGCATTTATGTGAAATTTGGGCTCCTCATTGCTCAGGTCTGGTCACATAGCTCAGAAAGCACAGAAGTAGGGCCAAGAGTCAGAGCTGAGGAGCTTCTGAGGGGTTGATTCAGTGACTTCTCTGTTGCAGGTCAGGAGTGGCAGAACCAGGGCGTGGTTGGGAGAGGTTGTAGGGCTCTGCAGAAGGAGAAAAGAAACAAGAAAAGAACAAGGGAGAAGAGGTGCCACCAGGTGAGATCATTGGGGTGAGTAGGAAAGACACTTTCTAACTCCAGAGGGTTTGAGATTTCAGGAGGTAAGGAAGAAGGGGAAAACATTACACTTATCTTTGGGGGCCAGGAGGGTGGGGATGTGGAAGAGCGGTTGGTGAGCCATGTCTTTCTGTTCACTCTTCAGTGGGAGGATGTCAGCTCTGGTCCAGGGGACCCAGCACTGACCTCTCTAGGCCTCACACCAGGGTCAGTCAGGGAATGAGCAAAGGAAAGGCCCCAAGTCAGCTTTGTGGACATGAAGATGTGTCCCCCTCAACTGAGGCATCCAGGGCTGGCTGGTAGGGAGGAGACAGAGTGGAAATGGGATGCTGATGAGAGGCTGAAGATGCAGGGTCACTCATTGGAGCCGGGAGATCTACATGGCTCTCTTGTGCTGCAGAGGACATAAGCCCAGCAGACCGTATGGGAGTCAGGGCTGGCCTGAGCTGTACTATGGGTACCAGGACGGTAGGCAGGACAGTGCCTGATGCTTGGGACTCCTCGAGAGTGACATATATTCAGCCTGTCTCCTGCTCTCTCCACTCTACCATGTTTAGGAACTAGGAATGGGTGGCAGACACAATAGTGTCTCCTAGTACTCAGTGTTCAGCCACTGCCTGCCTTCTTTCTCTCTGCCCCCACCCCCTGCCAGCAGGTCTCCAGTTTCCACAGCTGCTCCAGGCAGATCTGTCATGTGGACACTGACGGTCCTCCTGCTCCTAGGTGAGTCCTCTACCAGGCGGTAGCAGCAGCAGGACTTTGAGTGAGGGAGGATAGGGTAGGCAGGGCAGGGTGTGTGAGGTAGGAGAAGTGGCTATTCCACCCTCAGGTTATGGTGCCATATCTATTTTTGGAGGGGCGAAGAGGAGGGAGCTTTATCAGAGCTGGGGTAACCAGGGGCAAAGAAAGAAAACAGAACTTAAGACCATTCAGTCTTTCTCATAGTCATCAGGGATTCTCTCATCTCCAACATTCCCCTCCTTCTTTCTTTTCTTTACAGCTCCGAGCACTGGTCAAGCTGGTGAGTCTTATGTATCTCTCGTCCCACTTTTTGGTTTTTACAATTTCTGCTCTACCTTTCTCTAAGTGACCCACTTAGGTAGATATCCCACAACTTGGCTGTTCTGGGATAGTATATCTTCCTCCATCCCTGGGACTAAGTTTGTCAGCACTCAGAAATGGGTGCTGACTGGTGGACTGATAGCTTGTAGCTCAATGAATATGGTCTCTTCTCCTGCTGGGGCCTGAAAACTGGGGCTTTCTAAGACTTCAGAACCTCAGGCTGTGTTTGGGCACCTCACCTTGGTTTTCTTTCCCACACTACCTCCTCCCACACACCTCAGCCACACTGGAGAAGCCCATATTGTCTCTACACCCACCTTGGACCACAATCTTCAAGGGTGAGCGGGTAACCTTGCGATGTGATGGACATTACCCTCTGCTCCTGGAGCTGCGACCCATCAGCACTCTCTGGTATTTGGGCCACTTACTCCTCCCCTCCCACAAGAAGAGCATCGAGGTGCAGACGCCAGGGGTGTATCGATGCCAGACAAGGGGAGCACCCGTCAGTGACCCCATCCACCTCTCCGTATCTAATGGTGAGTGGTCTGAGCATGGAGGGGAGGGAGCATGAAGGTATCATCATCTGATGATATTGGGCCTCCTGTGGGGGACCATTTCCAAGGGGCAGGAGACAAGGACCATCCTGAGGCCTATCTTGAGTCTCTGGAGTAGGCAGAGGCCTGCATGATGCTACATGAGAGATGAACTAAGGTTTGCCTAACCCCAAAGGTCCCTGTTACTTTCATGCCAGAGGGAGACAAACATGTGTGTTTGTTTCTCAGACCAGCTCAGAAGGCTAGAGGCTCTGAGGACCTAGCATACTGGACAGACCACTCTGGGGAGTATGCAGGAAAGGGCAGAGCAAAACAGGAAAAATGAGCATCCCTGGGTAGGTGGAGCACTGCAAGAGGAATTATTCCCAACTGGTAATGCTGTGGTTCTCTGTGTATCAGCATCCATACCAGTAACGTGGGGACAATGTGGCACCACTTGTAATTCCTGCACTTAGAAGGCCATGGAGGCAGATGGCGAGTTCAAGGTCAGCCTGGGCTGCCTAGCAAGTTCAAGGCCAGCCCAAACTACGCAGCAAGACCTTATCTCAAAAAGAGAACATTTGATTAAAATTTTATTACAGACATGGATACATGTGCACAGGGGGATCAATGGGAACTGACGTTGGAGATACTTGAAGGGTTTCAAAACAGGATAAGAAAAATAATCATTTGCTAATTAGGGCACAGAATTGGCACCTTCATGGAGAATATATAATTTTAGCTTCATGGGCCACAATTTGCATTCAGAGTTTAAGAGACGCTGCTGAGTGTTCGTATTAGTACTTACATTCACACTCTGAGGTTTCCTGTTTGGGAACTGTTGGTGAGAGCAGTAAGGACACTGACTACAATAGACTATGGCTACTGCTTCGGGGTCTGAGAGTTACACATGGCTTGTGGCTCTTCTTCATGGAATTTTCTTTCACTGTGCAATATCCAAAATGGCATCTGGGGGCTGGGGATTTAGCTCAGCAGCACAGCGCCTGCCTGGCAAGCGCAAGATTGTGGGTTTGATTCCTGGTATTGGAAAAAAAAAAACAAAACAAAAACCAAAATGGCATCTGGTGTGTGCTAGGGCTACTAAGTGTTAGGTATGATCATGATGGGGATTTGGTAAATACATGGTGCTATTGGAGATATCTAAGGATGTCTGGGACGTGTCTGGGGAGTTTTATTCAATAGATAATGTCTCAATCTAGACTGCAGGACAAGTAGGCCTCAACTTAGAAATGAAGGACAGTCTTCTCTGCTGAGGAAATAGCAGGTATAAAGGCCCTGGGGTCAGAGCAGAGCTAGTTCTCCTAGCAATTCCAATAGCTGGAACCTATGTTAAATGAATGGCAAGGAGGGTAGAGAAGGTAGGGAGGGCAGGGGAAAGTACTGAGAAGATAGTGGAAAGGCAAGGGGCCGGGTCAGGAAGGCCCTGAAGTCAACCAGAGGAGTTTAAATTTGAAGCAGGACATGGTGGCTTAGGCCTGTAATCCCAGCACTCTGGAGGCTGAGGCAGGAGGACTATTTTAAGTTTGAGGCCAGCCTGGGCTACATATTGAATTCAAAGGCAGCCTGAATACCGTATAGGAGAGGCTGTCTAAAAAAAAAAAAATTAAACTTGATTCTGAGGGGCAATGCTCTGAGAATGGAACCAAGTTTGGGGCATCTTTGCCTCCCTGGTACCTAAGGAAAGCCTTTCTCTTTCCGGACACTCAGAGCTTTCTGCACCGTGAGATGTCTGGCCAGCTCTGGAGAGAGGAAGGGTGTTTGTGGAGAGAGGAGGGAGCGAGGGCAGCTATGGGGGAAGCAGGGTGTCTGAGAGTGTAAGAGCTGCGTGGCCGGGAGTTCCGCGGAGTGAGCCGCGCTGCCTGTCCGTTGCAGACTGGCTGATTCTGCAGGTGCCCTACACGGCCGTGTTCGAGGGCGAGCCGCTGATAATGCGCTGTCGCGGCTGGTACGACAAGGTGGTCTACAAGCTGCACTACTACCACGACGGCCAGGCGGTGCGCTATTTCCACTCGAGCACCAACTACACGGTGGTGCAGGCTCGAGCCAGCGACAGCGGGCGCTACCAGTGCTCGGGGACCATGCGCATCCCGGTGGAGAGCGCCCCCATGTTCTCTGCCAAGGTTGCCGTGACCGTGCAAGGTAGGGGCGATCTGGGGACCCAGAGCGCTGGGCAATTCCGGGACCAGAGTCAGGCGGGGAAAGGAGGGGCGGGAATTTTGGCAGCTGCAAATTGGCGGATTTCTCTGCAGGAAGGAGCGCTTTCCCAGCAGCTGGCTCTTAGGCTGGTGTCCCTTACCCCACGACACGCACCTTGGCTTCTTGTTCTGTCCGGGGACCCCATATAAAGGCAGCTCTGGCCACAGTCCCAGTCAGGAGGGCGGCCAAAGTGGTAGGGGAACTTGGGATGGTGGCCAGGCGCCTGTTCTCGGGCATCCCCCTTCTAGGATGGCCCGAGGGGGGCCAGGTCAATTGGGAGGTCAGGTGTGGCGCCTGGCCTGCTCCTGCCTGCCTGCACTCTGTCCTGATCCCTCGTGGACGCGGTCCCTCGGCCCCAAATTTCGGAAGCGTTCCTTCCCTCCCACGCGCGTGCAGCCTCTTCCCGCCCCCTTTTGGGTCTCCGGTGGGCGCGGAGCCCTCGTGCGAGAAGGGAAGGAGCGGGGTCACTCGGGTCTGCCTATCCTGCCCCTTGTGCGGACTCAATAGGCGTCCTCGGCCTCCGCGATCTCTCCGCAGAGCTGTTCCAGACGCCAGTGCTCAGGGTGCTGCGCCCGCGGGAGGTCCGCGGCGCCGCCCCCCGCGGGGTGACCCTGAGCTGTGAGACGCGCCTGCACCCGCAGAAGCGCGACACTCCGCTGCAGTTCGCCTTCTACAAGTACAGTCGCGCCGTGCGCCGCTTCGACTGGGCCGCGGAATACACGGTCCCCGAGCCAGAAGCCGAGGAGCTCGAAGCGTACTGGTGCGAGGCGGCCACCTCCACTCGCAGCGTCCGGAAGCGCAGCCCGTGGCTGCAGCTGCCCGGGCAGGGTGAGTGACCGCGGACCCCCTGGACACCCAACCCAGCTCCGATCTGGCTCCCTGTCCCCCCACCCCCCTGCTCCCCAGCCCAGGCCCCACCCTCCCGGATTCCGGCCCTACTTTCTCCCCTTTCCGGCCCCCGCTCCAAGGCGCGATAATCCGGGGTGTCTATTCACAGGCTCTCCCCTGGAGCTGGCGTCCACCTCCGCCCCGGACCCCCGGGCGGCAGCCTTGGCGCCAGGTAATAAGCCGCTTTCCTTCAGAAAGCCTCCAGTGTCCAGGTCGGTCCCGTTGGTGACCTCCGTCCCAAATGCTACCTCAACCGGGCTGCAGTTCCCGGCCGGCCACAGCGCCCCCACTGCTGGGCCACTCGCCTGCGCTCTGCCCACGCCTGCGGGACCCGGGGCCGGAGCGCTGAAACCCGACATAGACCTTCTCCTCCGGGAAATGCAGCTGCTCAAAGGCCTTCTGAGCCGGGTGGTCTTGGAATTAAAGGAACCACAGGCCCTGTCGGAGCTCAGAGGGACCCCCGCGACCGCCACTTCCCACTTTGCTGTGAGCCCTGGAACCTCAGAGAACACTCCAGTGCAGACCTGAGAGGCAGCCTCCGTCTTCCCTCCAGAACCGCTCCTCCCGCGTGTGCCCTGCCTTTCCTCAGTGCAGACCTTTCAGAGCCACCTCTGTTCTTTGTTTTGCTGTGATTATAAAAGAAGCACCCTGGGGCCGAGGATATAGCTCAGCTCCTGCCTGGCATGTGCAAGGTCGTGAGTTCCATCACGACCCGCAAAAAAGAAGCACCCATAAAGCCGATTTCAACCTTGCATAGCAGTTTGTAACCACAAACATTTTCCCTGTTTCTTCTTCCAGAGTTAAGTAGAGAAACAGAAATCTGCTCGTTATTAACTTCGAGGATTACAGTTTGGAAGTTAATTCAGTCATCCTTAGTCATCGGTATATAAGCCTGGCAAGTACTTATTTCAGCACAAGTAATTTTCTTTTTGTTATTAAATTCACTGAGGTCACCAAACACTTTAGAAAATTTTAGGGTCATGTTCTAATTGCTCACAATGAATTTACTCTCTTGTTAATATTAAAAATGACTCTGCCCTGTTACTGATGAGTTCACATCTTTTAAGTCCTGGGTTCTATTTAGTTTTAGAGACCGAAAGGTATTTTCCCTCCCATTATGGGCCTCCCATTCCTGGGCTATAAGGCTCAGAATTCAGTTAGACTCTGGAAGATGCACCCTGGTCCTATGCAGCCAGATGGTGGGCTCTGGGACCAGCCCATCCTAACCTTAGTGAAAAATGAGAGAAGTCTACTATCTGCATTCAGAAATCTGTCTGAGCAAAGTTTAAGACAAATCCTCAACACTGCTGAATTATTTTTAGCAACTTCTTTTTTAAAAACCATTCATTCATACACTATGACTAACCCACATGTACATATGTATAGATCCATATCTCTTCCTGTGTGACTGGGAAATGAAGGAAGAAAAGTGAGAGACCATTTCAATTGCAAGTTCCAGTTTGCTCCCTGAAAATCCAATTTCCACAGGTTCTCCATCTGCCTCCTGGAGTCCTGGGCTCCCTCAAGGGCTGGTATGATTTGTTCTCAGGTCTCATTATCTTTAGGTCCATACCCTTCTTTAGCTAAATTTCACTGTTCAAGCTCAGAAGAACTATACCCTCCCCTCCCTTACTTCTGCTAGATAGGTACTCCATCAGCCACACCCCCTTCACCTCCCTTCCTCCCTCTCTCCATTCATCTCTTCTGTACTAGAAATTGAAACCAGGGCTTTCACACTGACCTACATCCCCAGACCTTTTCTTTTCTTTTCTTTTCTTTTCTTTTCTTTTCCTTTCCTTTTCTTTTCTTTTTTCTTTTCTTTTCTTTTCTGTTCTCTTCTGTTCTTTTCTCTCCTCTCCTCTCCTCTTCTCTCCTCTCCCTCCCTTCCCCTCCCCTCCTCTCCCCTCTCCTCCCCTCCTCTCTCTCTTTTAGACAGGGTCTTGCTATGCAGTTCAGGCTGCTCTTGAACTCACTATGTAGCCCACGTTGACTTCAAACTCTTGGTGATCCTCCTGCCTCAGCCTCCCAAAGGCTGGGATTACAGGTGTGCTCCACCATACCTGGCCCTGATCTTTTTATTTCTAAATTGCCCAGGTTGAGCTTGAAATTATGATCTTCTTTCCTCAGCCTCCTATGGTGATGGGATTATTACTGCATGTGCCAACCATGCCTGGCTTCTGAGTTACTAGCCAGAATAACATCAACAGTCTTCACCACATTCATCTTAGTAATAGTCTGCACCACTTTACTACAAAGTCACTGTAGTTATACAGGGAGTAGGCAGTTGCACATGTAAATTACACTGCAATGTGATAAATGCTCAATGGAACATTATAGGAATTCAGAAAAGGAAAATCAAGAATTTACTAAGCAGAGACATGAGACTAGTATGTTTGTGGAGCTGCAAATATTTGGGCCTGGGTGGAGACTTAGGTGTGTTTCTGTGGTGGAGAAGGTTATATTGTGGAGGGGAAGAGGCAGAGATGAATATAAGGAAGTAGGAAGGGACCAGAATTTGAAAGTCTTAATAAGTACATTAGCCTGTTGGATATTTTGGAAGCTTGACATTGTGGGTATATGGTCAGTTTCTGTCTGGGGTGACAGGTCCTGAGAATGAGATGCCATAGATGAAAAGAAAAACAAGAGAGAAAAAATTATGGGATCAGGGGACTGCAGCCTCTCAGACTGAAACCTTGATTACAATCTTCTTCAGCCTTTTATTGGGATACAAACAAAAAGCAGCAACAGGGCAAATGGGAGGAATAATTAACAGGATTAGTAAGGACAATACAGCTCAATTATCACAGGAATGAGACTTGACTTAGTTAGCCATCATGTTATCATTCCTTGGGGCATACCTCAGCAAAGCATCTAGTGTTGACTTTCCACAGGGACAAAGGTCCTGCTATCAGTTCCTTTTAGAGGAATGCTTTTGCCAGACTTCCTCCAGAATCAAATAGTCACATGGCTTGGTAATCTATAGAATGTCCTTCTCCACATAACATGAAGGCATCATTATGCCTCCCCCTCCCTGCCCCTGGTACTGGGAATCGAACTCAGGACCTTGCACTTACCGGGCAGGCACTGTGCCGCTGAGCTAAATCCCCAGCCCTGGCATCATTATGTCTTACTGGAGGAGTTGCCAATGTAAAGTTAGAATCAAATACACTGCTCTTCATAGGCACTTGCTTACTTCTGAGATGTGCCAGCCTCCTGTAGTAGGTACCGGGTTTGGATAGGTCTTTGTTGCTCTGATTTTCAGCTTTCTTTCTTTCTTTCTTTCTTTTTTTTTTTTTTTTTTAGGTCTTTTTGAGACAGGGTCTCGCTGTGCAGTTCAGACTGGCCTTGAGCTCACTTTGCAGCCCAGGATGGTCTGGAGCTTGCAACAATCCTCCTGCCTCAGCCTCCCGAGTGCTGGGATTACAGGCATGCGCCACCACGCCCAGGCTGATTTTCACCTTTCAAATGCAGGCTTATTTCACTTGTCAGAACTCTCCTCCCCACAGCCTTCACTGGCTAACTGCACCCTATGCCAATGCGCAGGCTCTTTCACCCTTCTGATTCTGTGATTTTGCCTCCCCCACCACAAGGATCCTGACACCCCTCAGCAACACAGGAAGTGACTAGCATTAGTGCCAAGAGGCTTAGTAGTCTACAAAGCATCTCAGGTCAATTGAAAAAATCAGTGGATCATTTTTTAAGGAAGAAAAAAAGTAAAAGGACCATTCAGAAGACAGCTAGTGTGTTAGCTTCTCCTAAATTACGGCTTGCTAGCAGCCACAGTGTTCTCCTTCCTACCTTGCCACCTGTCCACATTTACAACTAGGGATGTAGGGGATGGGAAAGAGCAAGAACTTTTTGGTAAGAATGAAAATTGTTCATGGCCAAATTTTCTTGTGTGGGAGAGGAAAACTGACTTATACCCTGTCAGCTTCACTGTTTTTAACCCCCCAAATCTCACACAGAGGGACAGGACAAGGTCATTCTCTATGGTATATGTTAATAGTCTCCAGGAAGATATGCATTAAGGAAACAGCATCTTAACAGTAACTATATTTCTGTATATGTTCAGCCATAAAGGCCGAGCTACTTAGCTTTCGATTTAGAGGTGGCAGAGTACACAGGTTAAACATCCTAGCTCAAGAGTCAAGAGATTCAGGTTCAGATGTTACTTTTGCTACTTACTAGCTGTGCAGTCTTGGGCATGATACATTGTGCAGAACTTGTGCCTTCATCTTTAAAAGCGAATATATAACCACTATAAAAATCAGTATGGACACTCCTCAGAAAACTAAAACTAGAAATCCCACTTGACCCAGCTATTTCCCTTCCCAGTTATCTCCCCAAAAGAGAGAAAGACATCATGAGACATCATGTTATACTGAAACATGCATACTCATATTTCTAGCAGTACAATTCATAACAGCTAAATCTTGGATGCAGCCTATATGTCCATCAACAGAATGGATACAGAAAATGTGGTATTTATACACAGTGGAGTACTCCTTGAATCACCTGTAGGAAAATGAGACCATTCTGAGACCATCTTGAGACCATACTGTAAACTGAAGTAAAGCAGATACGCAAGTTTAAATATTGCCTGGTTTCTCTTATATGAGAAACCCAAATTATAAATAAAGAGCAAAATAAGAGATAGAGAATAGGGCATAGGGAAATAGATCTTTCTCACATGGGAAGGGAATCAAGAGATGAGGGGAGGAAAAGCAATTAAAAAAGAATCAAGATGTGTTATATACATGTACCAACTCCCAACATGGAATATAAATATTATATACTGGAAGCATGTACTAATAAAATAAAATAAAAATAAATAAAGTAAAACTGGGTAATAATAGTATCAACCTCATAAAATTGCTAGGATTGAAATTATACAAGTAATATACTAGACACATAAAAGCAATACACTTTTATAATTTATTATAAAAATTTGCTGCATCTCAAATGACATTAATTGCAGGCTAAGAGATTCCTAAGAGAGGAAAACAGTGGCCAAGTAACCACACAGTATCTTTTAAACTTAATGAAAAATAGATTTAAAAATAATACATCATTCTGAATTATGTATCAATAGGGAGAACTGTCTAAAGTATTCACAAAACTTTTTTTTTTCAGTAATGGAGATTGAATCCAGGACATCTGCACCGGGCTAGATCCCTGGCTCTTTTTTATTTTTTATTTTTTTGGTAGGATCTCACTAAATTGCTCTGACTGGGTTTGAACTTGTGATCTTCCTGCCCCAGGCTCCCAGAATGCAGACATTACAGGCATGAGCCGTTACATCTAACTTCCTAAAACTTTTTTACATTCATAATCTGACTTTTCTAAATCAGTTTTCATCTCAGATTTATCCACTGTCCATGTTTTCTCACTTCCATTTTATCTTCTGTTCTTTGAAGACTGTTTCATAAAAGAAGCCATAAAAACAAAAGTTACAGCTGTTGTTGCCAGACTTTTAAACTGGCTTAACAATGATCTACAGCCTGCTTACTTTTGACTTCTGCTTTAGGAATGTTGCTAAATTCATCTGACTCCCCACCCAGTGCTCTGTCCCCACAGCCAACAAACAGCTGCTTCACTTTGGTCTAGAAATCTCTTCCCAGCTGTTCATAGCATGCTGTATATGTTGATGGTGGCAATTTAGTATTCATGGATATGTAAACAGTGAAGCAAAAGAGAGACAGCAATTTTGCTGGGTGTGGTGGCGCAAGCCTATAATGCCAGCACTCTGGGAGGGTGAGGCAGGAGGATCAAAAGTTCAATACTTAATAATACCAAAAAAAAAAAGTGAAATGGATAATTAGTCAGTTAAGAGAATATCACATATCAGAGAAATATTTATGGGGATTATTCATAACATGTTAAGGAAAAGCACATTACAATTCAGTATGTCCACCATAACACTGTTTTTATAAAACAGATATGCACATTTAAAAATATGAGGATGCCAGGTATGATAATGCACATCTGTGATCCTAGCACTTGAGAGGCCAAGGCAGGAGGATTGCCATGAGTTTGAGGCCAGC